CTGGGTTATTTTTGGTGAAAATAGGGTATCGGCCTTGGTTCAGGAACCAATCCCCCACTTATAACATTGTTTTCTATAGGCAAATTGGTTCCAAATTACAATGTTTTGACTTAAGATGTGGTTTTCAGGAACCAATTGTGTCATAAATCTGAGGGTTGCCTATATTTTCTTCCACTTTGCCTTCCATCAGCTTCTCTTAAATTATACCATCTACAACTTAGCCAGTATTTTGTAGTTGCCTTCCCATGCAAATTAACAGCTGAAAATAAGGAAGAAAACTAGGCAGATGACCATAGACCACAGTTTGGAAATCTCTGGGTTAGAGGAAATAAATTGGAAGTTGAGGAAAGCATTTTGTATCGTGCCAGAAAATTCTAGGACCAAGGAAAAATGGTAGCTGGTCATATATTGAGTTGGAGGGAGGAGTCCAATGGAAGTAGGAATTAACATTTTAACTGTGATTCCTGATGATACTCCAAGCCATATACAGGTGAAATCTCAAAATAAGTTTAAATGTTGAACAATGTGCATGGGATACATGCCAGCTTTACGTACCTGCATAGTGTAATTAACTCCAGCTTTTATTAGATGTTTAATTAGTTCTGCTGAATGCTGGAAATGGACTTTAGCTATGAGACAACAACATCCAAATGTTAGTGAAAAACATTACCACAGCATTTAGCTATTACAAAAATGTTTTCCCCTTAAATAACCTCAACCAAAAAATCTTCCTTATGTGGTAAGTGACTACCAGATTTGCAGACGAATGACTTTGACTGCCCCTGAGATGCAAACCATAGCAAATGACAATAGGAATGCAATGATGGAGACCACAGAGGTACAGTACACTTTCTATGGGACTAAGAAAGGATTTTTTTTCTTTTCTCCTAAAGTTTACAAAGTGTGCAGAACAGGTGCATTCAGACCTAATGAATGTTTGTCCATATATTAAATGAAAGCATGTCAGATTTTATACTGTTTGCAAAGGATTATTAGAGTTTGCACTCATTTAGATAATGGACCTGCTGCGGTGGTTAATCTTCATGCAGTAAAAACATGCAGCTCCATGACCACGCTTCCACTCATGCCGAACAAAGACTGAAATCAAGGTGCAGAAAGTACCACCAGGCTAGACTGTGTTGTGAGACAGTATTGAGTAAGCCTGGTACATGAACTGCTCAGTCCCTGGAACAGTCCTAAGAGCTGTACAGCACAAATGCTAGTTCCCTCCCAGCTCCCTGTTTGGTTTGTAGGGTGGAGAGGGCAGGTGGTGTTGCTAGCCTACTGACTCTGCCAGCTGACTTACAGGCACTTCCAAATTGCTCTGAGAGGAGGGACATAAGCATGCAGGCAAATATAGGTAGACTCCATGCATTCTTACTCTCCTTGAAATCAAATTGAATTCACCATCTAAGCCCTGTACCTTGTATGGCAAAATATACTAAATGATCATCAACTATTCTGGGCCACAGACTCCATGACAAACCGTGGGACTTCATTTAAGGTGCTGGATTTGGGGCTGGATTTCCGAACACTTGACTTCAATTAGTGCTAATTCCATTGAGTATGCCCAAGGATAGATTTCAGTGTAGCCTTAAGTTACTTAAGCATTAAGCATTAATATTGTTACATTTAATTAACTTCCTGAGAGGGTTAATGTACTATTTGGTATTGTATTTCACCGATTATGCTGACTTTTTTTTTTCTCAATTGCAGAATCAAGGTTAATCTAAAATACTATTAAAAATGTATGTCACTATTAATAATTGATATAGTACCTCTCACTAGCAACACAGTGCTTCACAAGATTTAAACAAATTGGAACATACAGAAGGTAAGAGTTACAAATATGCAGCAAAGGAAAACTTCACCAGTTTAGATTTAAAATGGACAGTTAAAACTGGCAATCATATCTCTTTGAGATTTTATAATATTATAAAAAATGTACATGCTTGATGTGTGCCTTTCTTTTTGTGCCCACACATTAAAAGCTTGCATACAAGTTAACTTGCATTGGTAAATACTTACTATCAGCTGTCCCATGAACTATCAACAAATTTGCTTCTTTTAAACTGTGAATATTGTGCAGTACACTGGATGCCTATTAAAAAAAACAAACACACACAAGTGTAATCGCATATTATTTTAAAAGCCAAGCATCACTGTAAGTTACTTATATAAATTAACATATTTGATATATATTTTCAACTAACTTACTTGATATGTATTTTCCTCTTTAGATGGAATGCCAAGATATCTTTCTGAAAAAGCTGATGCTGTATAAGGAAAGCCAAGAATTCAGATTTAAAGCAAGATTAGTTAAATTTTTTAAAATCATCAGTTCTGGCTTATAGCTCAGAGATTTTCGCTAAGCCATAAAGATAGCAAAAGCAGTTTCATCTTGGGTATGTACAGACATTTGGGGAGGTTAGGGGGAGGTTAGATCAAGTTATAAATGGCCACCCAATTTTAGGTAATTTGGATGAGGGGAACTAGCATGGGAGCTTGGGAGGATAAGTGGGGCAACAGAGTCCAAGGGTGGGGGGGCTGGGAAGGTTGGGGGGGGTAGCAGAGTCCTCAAGTGGGGTTGGCAAAGTCCATGAGTAGTTGGAAAGATCAGGGGGGCGAGCAAGGTCTACTGGGGAGTTGAGGGGGTGGGCGTTGGCTCTCCAATTCTGCTAACCCCCCTGGACTCCCCAGGCTCCCCCAATGTTGCCAAACTGCCCCCAATCTCATAAACTGCTCCCAGGGCCAGATTTACCTGCACTCATTGACTTGGGATCTTGATTGCAGTAAAATGGGGTGGAGGGAGGGGCAGGAAGATTGGGCAGCTGGCAGCTTCATGGGAGATTGGTGGGATGAGGGAGCTCTGTCCCCCTCAGACCAGGGGTTATTTTTAACCCCATGACCTCCACCCACCCCAACCATCAAGGCTGTGCTTTTTCTACCACCCCCACTCCCCCAGCACTGGGCTATTTTATCCTTCTGGCCCCTTCCCCCACCACTAGATGAAGAACTCCCCTGGCACCCCAGGCTCTCCCTCCACTCCCGAATTCTGCACACCCCTCTCCTCATTCCAACTTAATTCTTCATCTCTCTTCCCTGGCAAAAACCAGTAAAACAAGCACCAGGAGTAGCCTGCAAGATTGGGGGTGGGGGGCAAGGACAGGTCTGGTGAGCTCAAGGAGAGGGGCTGGCTCATCCACAGGGGTTTGTCCATCTGGGGCTGGGAGAAAGGGCTGGTGGGGCTAAAATTAGCCCAGTGCTGTGGGAAGGGAGGGGAGGAAAAGTGCAACCTCATGGCTGGGGCCAGAGGCTGGGCTTTTCTTACCCCAGAGATGCACTAGGAATAGGACATAAGTTCAAGTACGTAAGTTTCACTGGACCCCATCTAAGCTAGACTACTTGAGGTAGAGTTAATTTAGATTGGGTTAGCCATTTTTAGACTGATCTAACCTTCCTGAACTTCTGTACAGTTCGCATTTAGATCAACCTGACTAGGGATCTAAGTGTAAGGTCCACACCTGGGCGAACTAAGTTAGATCAGGTGGCCATTTTTAATGTGGTTTAACCTCCCTGAATGTCTGTACCTAGCCCTTGAAAAGAGATTAATCTATATTTAGGCCAAAATGGATCATTAGTCTGCTCTCTTGCATAAGATGGACCATAAGACTTTACACAACAGTTCCTGCTTAGAGCCTGAAATATTGTGATTAAATTAGCATGGGTGGCCAACCTGTGGCATGCGTGCCATAAGTGGCAAAGAGAAGCCTCTTCATGATACACATAAGATCAGGGAGGGTACAAGGAGCACAATGGCAGATAAGGTATGAAGGAGAAAGCAGAGCTACAGCTTGGGCAGGAAGCATAGGGCAGGGAGGAGAAAGCCAAGCAGCAGATTAGACAAGGAAAAGGGATCAGAGTGGCATTCAGGGAGACTATGGGGTTTCTTCATGGCATGCCTACCCACTGAACGTCTGCTGCCGGAGTAGCAGAAGGTAGGGCAAGGTGGCCCCTTAGAAAGTGACTGGTTCAGAAAGGCGTGAGCTGTCTTAGGTAACAACTTACTTTGTCAGATGCTATGCCAGGGGTCAGCAATGTTTTTGGGCAGAGAGCCAAAAACACCCACAACATTGACTTATAAGATGTTGGTGTGCCAGGGCAGATAACAGGGGACTCACAAAGGACCTGATCCTTGTTGTGGCAGCATACCTTGACCCTTTCTCCAAGGCACAAGTGCCAAGCAAAATTTCTTCATGGGCCCCCATGCTATGCTATGCCAGGCTGTAGCATATGATGACATAAGTTACTGCCTATAAAAGAACAAGCCTCTAAAGCAGCTAGTCTCTAAGACGCCATTCTTCCCTACCTTTTGCCTGACTTCAGACTAACGTTGCTCTAGGATATGAATGAAATCCTGGCCACTGTGATGTCAAGGGATTGAAGGGCTAGGGCTAGATAGCCACTTCTGAATCAGTATGTGGTTTTTAAAGGAGCCTAAGGGAATGAAGTGCCTGACTCCCTCTGAATTACAGTGGGAATTTGGCAGGTAAATTCTTCAGGCCTCTTTGCAAAATCCCAGCCTTAAGACTCCAGCAATGGAGAATCTTCCACATGGTTTGATGCTATTCCAGGTGTTACTGTCTCTCACTTAAATTATTGCCACATGTTCAGCTTTAATAGCTTCCATTCATTACCATTAATTTACCTCATCTTAGTAAAAATGAACCATAGATCCCTTGTATATGTTATTTTAAAGAAACCATTAAAAAAGAATGGAGAATGCTTACCATACAGCTTCATGTCTGTAATGGGTGCAATCACAGCTCCACATTTAAAAAGCCTTTCATTGGCTTTCAGTATCATAGATGCAATGTATCCACCATACCCCTGTCAAAGCAAATCAGATAATCTGTTTTTGTTCGCGTATTTGTTCTTGTTTGTTGCTCTTAAACATAATGAAAATAAAATGTATTGTGCTAATTTGGTCATGTCAGTGTATACCAAGCATTTATACTTGCAATTACTGATTATTGGTTGGATGAAATATAAACTAAAATAAGAGTGAATATAGATGTGATAATTCAGTTTTACTATTCAGCTTTAAAAGACATTATTTAGTAAGAAGGTATGCATTATAATGTAATTTTATGTAAGTTCCCATAGTTCTATGGGGCAGATGGGTCTTTTCATAAGGATCTGAGAGAGACAGCTTATATACAGCTCTGGGCTGGGCTACGGGGCATGGAGGATCAGAGACTCCTAGGGCCAGAAGCTAAAGGACCTCTGCTCCAGACTTTAAACTCCAAGCCAGAGCTGCCAAGTGCCGAGCTTTGATAATCAGCTAACTTGGTCCTGTGTGGGGGGCCCCATAAGGGTCCATAATAGGCTTTCATAATCCTAGGCTCCCCCGGGACTGGCAAGTAGTAATGGCACAATTTAGATCTGATCCATGATCCAAAAATCATGTCTCCTGCCATTCATGTGTGGCACAGCAGGTCTAGGGACAGACATTCATAAAGCCTGAGCCTGAGTTGATTCAATTTTTGCAGGTTAGTTTAACCTGGGAAGGCTAAATCAGTCTGTAACTGCACAGACACCCCAGAAATGTAGGCACATGCCTGAAGTGGCTCAGGCTAGAAGCTGGGGCGTGCTAGAGCACCCCTCCCTACCCTTTCACAGTGCTGAGCTGAGGGAGGCATAGCCAGGCCCTGGCAGGACACTTTGGTTAGGGAGGGGTTTCCCCCCTCCTGACCAGCCCAGCAGGGCATTGATAACACAATGTTTTACACTATATCTCAGTGTTTATCACCCCATTAAGAAAACAACAGAGGGACATTACCAGCTACCTGTTGATTCTGCCTTTGTCCTGTCTGCCACAGCATGGACAATAGCTAGCATGCGATCTGCTAGCTAATTCTGAGAGGTGCCTGTGTAAGACAGAGGGGACGGGGTAATCCCTGCTTAGCAGGGAGTGAGGAGGAGAGGGTATGGGGGGAGCAGGGGGAAGCCAGGCAGCTGCCTGCAGTCTCTGCTGAGCTCCAGCCAGGGAGCAGAGGGGAGGGCCAGCCCTGCTGTGGAGCACAGAGCCTTGCAAGAGCATGCCAGGGTGCTGGGGGAGTCTGTTTTAACTTAAACCAGGAAGGGGTCTGGGACAGACATTGCATAAACCAGTTTTACCCAAATCAGTTAAGTTTGATACTACATTCATCCAGGTTTATCTCTAACTGGTTTCAGCCATTTTTAAACTGGTTTATGTGCACTGAACATCTGTTCTGTTACAGGTTAAACTATTTTGATCACTTAAACCAGTTTATGTGTAATGTCTGTCCCTGGCCCAGATTGCGTGATTGCTGGGATTGTGGATCAGATTCTAACATGCTGTTAAATGAATACATGCTAGGGGTTCTTGACATCAGTCTTCACACATTTATTCCTGTTGCCTTCAATGAAAAGTTTGGTAACTGGCATGGCCATGTACCCCTTGAAGAGGGCAGCTCCTCTGGTGTTGGCAGCCATTGCACCCTCCAGAAATTGGCTTGATAGCTGTCATAAATGGAGCAGAGTTTACTTATGTATAATGGCACAAAACTGCCACAGAGATGCTGCGACACAAACAGAAAGGAGAAAGGATATGCAGCCAGCCAAAGGGGTTCAAAGTATTTAATACTATACCCATCTAATGCTTCATTTTCTGTTTCTGTGACACGTAAATGCAAACTATTTCTCACTATAGTTTGGTATGGAGAAGTTCTCTTTAGGTCATATGTTGGTAGACCTTTCAACTCTTGGAGAAGAGCAAAATAGAATTAGTAGGCAGGTTGAAAAACAAAGGTGTTCTCTTTTCATATTTTTCCTTGTTGAACAAATGTGTTTTTTTCCCTGCTAATACTTTATTTTGCAGAATCGGACTCTACTTTTTTATCCTGTTATTCAAATAACCCAGAGAGCTCCAGGACAATGTGTATGGGCCCAACTTTGTAGGGATTAGCACGGGTGATAGGACACGGCCTTCTCAGCGTGCCAGCAAGGATAAGTTCTGTTCCTCTCCTTCCCGTGTAGTGCATATAAAGGAAAACAAAGATTTTCTCGCACAACAGCACTTCATATGGAGGTAGGGAAAAAAAATCAGCCTACGAGAAAATGATTAATTGTCTCTTAAGAAAAACACAGGTAAGTCAAATTCAATTGGCACTATTTAACCTTTCTAGAGTTCTCAAGTGGCTATTTGGGGTTTTTAAGATGATACTTATGAATGGTACAGAAACCTCAAAAGCTTTGAAACTTGTAAGCACCTCAAACTCAAAGCTGTTTTGAAGGCTATCAAATTTCCCACTAACTTTTGCTTTTTGCGCCACTATTTTTTTTTCAGCCAACATATGCGAGAACTTTTCAGACAGTGATAGGTCAGACTTTTCAGACAGTTGAAAGGACTTTGTAACTTTGATGGAAACCATCCACAGCAACCATGTGTGTAGGTCTGAACAGACATGTAAAGCTGTTTTCAAATATATGCTACTTTGCAGTTGTCTCAGCATCATGTTGTTGGTCTGCAAACAAGATACTTAAGTCCTCCACTGCTTCTCATGCCTTCTGCTACTCCTGTTACAGGCCTGTGAGGATTTTATGAATTACATGAATGAAATACTTGACTAATATCAATGAAATCTCTTATGTAAACCAAAAGCAACTGCATGAGTGTGTGTGTGTGTGTGTGTCTATGCCATGCTTAGAAAACAAGTTTGATATATGCACATATCAGTTGCTATGATGATGGACACGTTTTGAATGCCACTACTGAATGTACAGTCATAATTTCCTTAGTTGACTTCCCCTCTTTTGTGGCTACTCTACAAACAAAAATATTAACTTTGATGCTACTGACATTTTTATTGTGATACGTTTCTTTCTTTAGCCCAGGTTGTATAGCAAGAACCTGTGTGTTCGGAAAGGAACGTCTTGCTGCACGTGGAACAATAATAGTCAGCATTTTATTTTTACCATGCTGCACAAGTATTGGTTTATCCCCCAAATGCTACCTCATAGGAGGTAAATATTGTTATACCCATTTTACAGAAAGCCGAACTCAAAACATGACATGGAGGTTAAATGACTCAGTACTATACAAATCTTACACTTACGCAGTGGGTTAGCAGCAGATTGGGAACTGGATCAAAGGGGTTTCTTAGTGAATACATACTGCTGCAATAACTGATCATTAAGGCATCCATCTATGTGCATGACCATGTTTCTTTTTGCTTTCACTACAGGGTTTTAAAGGCACCAAACATTAACCTTCTCAAAACTACTGCTGAAAAATCAGAAAAAGGCCCATGTCAGCTTCTAAACGATACAACATTTTTGTGCAGCTTCTAAAAGCTGATTTTAAGGAAGATCACTAAAATTGTATTTAACTTTTTGCTAAAGCTTAAACCTTTTCCTCGTTCTATCTGATGCTAGAGGCAACAGTATACAACATAACAAAACAGCTGACTACATAGAAAAGGAAAGACCTCTAACAGATGGTATGAAAAAGGGATGTTACTCACAGCACAATAGGATAGTTTTGAACTAACTTGAGTGCATTATAAAAGGTTTGCAAATAAAACATGGATTAAAAGGGACACTGTCAATTTAAATACAGATCAGAATTTAAACAGAGATGAAAGTGAGTTTTTTGCAGAGACTGATACCAAAACAAATGTATTCACATGTGTATTTTTAAAACTTTGAATGAAAATAGGTTTCTCAAAAAATTAATTATTTCCCTATAGTGTCTGAAATAAAAATATTGGACCTGGAAAAAGCTACTATAAACAAAATTAAAATTGAATCAATAGATTCTGATTGTCCAACAAAAGAAAAAAAGCCCCCAACCTTATTGGAACTAATGGCAGGGATTTGATTTTTTCATGATAATAACTGAAAGTGTTATTAGGAGAATAAATAAAGAAATTTGTTTACAATGGATTATTTCAAAATTGCTATTTTCCTCTTAATGAAAGCAGGAAGATACATCTTGTTATTTCTGCAAGTTACCTTTCCAAATATGCTCAGTCTTTTAGGATCAATGAATGGCTGTTTCAATAATGATCTGTAAAAAAATAAGAAATGTTATATTTCACAGAGTCAAATGTATGGAAAAGGTTATTTGTAGATGACAGAAGTGTGATTACTGTGATATTCAGATTTTTAAGATTTTGTTTCAGAACAAAAAATATTATTTCCTAGGCTCATGTAATTTCTTTTCTTATATATGATAGAAACTAGGGCTGTGCAAAATTTCTACAGTTGTTTCGTTTTGAAGCTGTTTCAATGTGTTTCGAGCTTGAAACAGCAAAATTGAAACAAAAGGCTTTGAAACAGCTTCCAAATGAAATGAAGGCACTTGAAACATTTAGAAAGTTTCAAAATGTTTTGAGTTTCGAAGCCGGGCTTGCTTGCAGCTAAACAGAAAGTAAGGAGAGGGAGGAGGAAGCAGGGGAACTGCTCAAATACTGACTGTCATCATTCCCTGAGGTCCCTTCCAATCCCAGTGCTCTGGGGGTGGGATGGAAAAAACAGCATAAAAAGCAGCATTGTTTGAACTGAGCTTTCTCTGGTCCTTGGGGTCAGCTTACTGAGCTGTGTCTTCCAGCAGCTCAGCAGCATCAACACCTATGCACCTATCTCCTTGAAACTTGGCAGGCTTCATGGCCTCAGCAGGGGTACCATGCCTGCTGTTTTCATCCTGCTGCGTCTTAACATACACACATGACATGAGTTTCACTTGTCAGCACCTTGAGGTGCAGTTTCCCAGAACCCCCTGCATCTATCTCCTTGAAACTTGGCAGGCTTTGTGGCTACCATCCCTGCTGTTTTCATTCAAGTCAGGAAAGAAATGATGAATTTATAGGCATTTTTGTGATTCCCCATAATAGCTTATGGGCAAAATGTCAAAATGCATCCAAACAGCATCGAAACTGTGAAACAGTTTCAACGAAACAAACAGAACTGTGCTTCGATATAGAAAAATGAAACACTGTCCCTTCGAAATGGCAAAACAGAAGTCAAAATGAAAGGGTGCTGTTTCGCTCAGCCCTAATATAAACCTCCTGTTTCAGAAATCACCAAAAATATGAATCCCCTTCACAGGCAGTGAAACAACAACCCTTCCAGAAGAATACTATAAAAAATGTTATAACTTAGGGAAAAATTCTGAGAGACAAAGCTGAACTTTCTACCAACCTTCAGCTCCCCTTTTCCCATGTAGCCTATCTATATGGAAAACAGAGATAACAACCAAAGAATCCAGGTGTTTGACCACAGAACTGGCTACACCTATGTGAGCGCTTATTGGAGCTCCATTGCTCAAAGAAGGCATCATGGCCTCGCACCATTCCTGGAAATCTTCCATCGGGGCAGACCTAGAGGGGGTGCTTTGGCCTAGCTATACTGTTGTTTCTGACCGCATGGGAGGCAAGCAGTCCCTGAGGAAAGTAAGAATTTCCTTCCTCCCTTCCCCTCTATGCTCCCCTCCTGTTCCCCACCCCTCTGGGTACTGCTGCCACCGTCCCTGACATCCTGGGGGCAAGGGAAGCTCTTTTCCTACTCCAGCTAGGCTGCATGGGGGCTGGGCTCAGCTTGGGACAGTGGCAGCAATAGCAGGCAAGTGGGCTCCCCCTCTCTGCTTTGTCCACCCAGGTGTTCCCTGCCAGGCCAGGAGCAGGCGTGGGGAGGAGGAACCCACCCACCCACTGCTTCCACAGTCCAAAGCTGAGCCCAGGCCCTAATCAGCCTGGCTAGATAATCTTCAGAGCTCCCCTCACCCCCAGGACAGCGAGGACAGAGACAGGAGGTGGGGGAGTGGGGAGGGACAGAAGAGAGGATGTGCATCTCAGCAGGAAGGAGAAGGGGGTAAAATTTTTACCTGCTTTGGGGACTTAAAGTTCCCAACTGCTGCTCCTGTGGCATGATCTACCTGCTCTGGTTGGGGAGAAGGTAGGAAGGAGGCTGTGAGTGGAGGGTGCAGCCACTTCTGTAGCTTGTGAACCCCCATTTGCAAAATTTTGGATCTGCTTTTGTCTGCCAGTATGTTGCAGCAAATGAAAGATGGGTGGAGAGAGGCATGCTCCTCCTTTCAACACTCTTTGCAGCACACTGTAAAGTATTGTGAGTGCAAAAGACAAAGAGTGTCTATTCACTCAACCATGACAGATTTGCACCCCATCCATCAGTTCAGAGGTACAAATCTTTATGCGAACTTTAGCTAAGTATTCTTATTGTTGTCTTCAGGGGTCTATGCCTCAGAGATGATGGTTAAGGTAGGGGCACATGAACAATTATTGAGAGATAAGCTAAAACATTTGTGTATAGCAGGCAGCTTGCAGACCATTTGAAGCCCATGGGGTCTCATTCTGTTGCCACTGCTTCTGCTTCTTGCCCAATTCCAGGGCAGAGGAGTGGGGTATGACCTGCAGTGTGAGGGAAGCCTTACTGCTTGGTGTGAGATGCTAACAGCTTGGCATGGTGCAGCAGTAAAGTCTGCACACAGGGAGCCTTGGGCACCAGCACCCAAGTGCGCAGTGCAGCAAAGATGGGGCATGGGAGGGAAGTGCCCATGAATTCAGTGCAGCAGCAGGGTGCAGGAAAGCACTTAGGTGCATGGTGCAGCACGGGCTAGCAAGTGCCCATGTACTCAGTGCAGAGGGAGAGCTGAGGGAGCCTGTGGTCTGTGCTGAAATGGCCCCCGTGGCATTCTCCATCAAGCAGGAGCTCACCTATCACAGAGTGGGCACAGATACCACATTGTAGATGAAACACCGTGAGTTTATGCCACAGCTTACCTTGTGGTAACTTGTGGATGCCCACCCACTGGCAAACATAAACCATATCATTTTAGATTTGTCAGAACAATACTTAACAAATTAATAAAAGTAATAATCTGTTTCTAAAGTACCCTACATTTATTGACAAGTAAGGTTCTTTGAGTGATATCTTTTATTAGACCAACTGAGTAGCTGGAAAAAAAGTTTACGCAAGCTTTTGGGTGCAGTCACTAGGGCTGTGCAAAACAGCACTATTTCATTTCGACTTCGGTTTCACCATTTTGACAGGGCAGTGTTTTGTTTCATGTTTTGTTTCAAAACTGCTGTTCCATTTCGTTTCATTGAAACTGTTTCACTGTTTTGATGCTGTTTTGACATTTTGGTCATAGGCTATAATGGGGAAGCATGAAACTGCCTATAACTGTGTCATTTCTTGCTTGATTCAGATAGAACTTGCAGGAATGGTAGCCTCTTCAGAGGCCATGAAGCCTGCCAAGTTTCGTGGAGATAGGTAAAGGAGTTTCTGGGAAACTTCATCTCAAGCTGCTGACAAGCAAAACTCATGACATGTATGACTTTGTGTGTATGTTAAGGTGCACAGCAGTGTGCCCCAATGACACCTCCTCCTCCCCTATGACACGGCAGCGTGCCCCAATGAGGCCTCCTCCTCCCCTATGACACGGTAGTGTGCCCCAATGAGGCCTCCTCCTCCCCTACAGCCTCATCCTGGTCCACCACTTTAAATGACTTCAGGTAATACTAATAACTTAGTGAACAGCAAAGTAGCACCAGCAGCATCTCAGGCAGCCAAACTGTGACAGATCTCTCCCCTCCTGCAGGAGCTTCTTTTCCAGCAGCTGCCAGATAACTCTCCCTGCCAGCCCCAGCCCTGGGGCTTAGATGTGCCCTGGACCCTGCATCCTTCCAGTCAGGTGCTAGGCATGATGGTCTATGGATATGGCACTGGAAGACAAGGTCCTTTGTGTCAATCTAATCTGGTACCTTTTAGCAGATCAACTGAATAGTTACAGAAATATATCTTACCAAGA